GGGGGGGGGGGGGGGGAGTGTAGAGAGCACATGTACAGTAGAATATTGTAAGGCAGCGTAGTAAAATCAGGCGCTCGTCAAAACAATGAAATTGAAGAAACTGGCATTTTCGCGCTGGTTTGGCAAATTTCATAGAATTAAAAACAACAACTTTACCTTCGATTTTCTCAAAAAAGCATTATTTGGGATAGCCCCCTTGTGCTTAAAAGCAACTATATTATGCACACTTTTAAGCACAAGGGGTCTATCCCGAAAAATGCTTGTTTGAGAAAGTCGAAAGTAACGTTTTTGCCCCTTGTTCAGTTTCTTTAAAAGATAAGGAGAGTTTTCTCTATAACCAAACAAATAAAATAAAATGTACACACCGATGAAACCTAACTTCTCCTATACTTAGGAAATGCCCACTTCTGGTATTGGTCAAGATTTCTGGAAACCGCCGAAATCTCGGTTAGCCCGCGTGTCCTTAAAAGCGACCATACACGGCTTAAGCTTCCCGATAACGGGTGACTAGCCTGGATCTTGTGTAGTTGGTGCAAGGGGGACATAGTTTGTAATGGGACAATTCATTCGTTCATCTAGTGCCAGATCTGCGACAGACATCGGCGATCATGGTTCACCATTCATTCCTTTGCTCGGATGCTTTTAAAAAGCTACATTTCCGTGATCTTTCCCCTTTCCCCATTTGCTTAGATTCTCTAAGTCTTGGTTTGCCTCGTTTGCCTTCGATTTTTCCAGTGAGAGCTAAATGTTCAAGACCTTTATGTCTATTCAGGTGTCCCAAAAACTGCATTAATTTGTCGTTTCCTGATTGTTTTTAACAATTAGCGTCCTACGTGGGCTTCATCAAGCACTACCTCCTTTTACTTCTTTTCCTTCCACGATGTTCTCAGCAATCTCCTAAGAAACCACATTTTCTGTTGCTTCTATCTTATTTTCACTGTAATTACTAACAGCTTACTCTTTTATGGGGAAGTTGAGTCGACGTCTCAAAGGTACAAGGTCCGCCGCCATTTTGTTGACTTGGTAAGTCGTAAGGTCTCGCTCATACACCTGTCTCTGTGCCGCTGACATCTTGTCAAGGTCAATGGTCACTCCTTTCCCGCTATAGCCTGGCCAACACACGGACAATGTTTTAAAAAAAGGGATGGAACAATATATTCAGTTGTAGTAAGAATTTTACGACACTTGCAGCACAATAGAGTCATATAAAAGCCGAAAATTAAAGGTGTTGCAAGAGAGTAACAAAGTTAACACACACACACACACACACACACACACACACACACACACACACACACACACACACACACATACACACACGAACACACACACATACATACACACACACACACACATATACACACACGAACACACACACACACACACACACACACACACACACATACGCACACAAACACACACACACACATACACACACACACACACATAAAAAACGGAGGAAAAGAGATCAGGATGGTAATATGTTTGATACGAAATAAGGAGCAAAGCACACCAGTTTGTTTGTTTGCTTGTTGAGCATTTTTGCTCAAAATTTCTCGATTAAAGAGAAATAACAACGAGGATTCATTTTTCGTTTTTCTCCACGGAAATATTGTGAGTGTTCGTTCTTCCCATAGCAGTATATTATGATAATCTAGACTATGCCCTCTGACGTAGGATCCAGGTTTTCTTCAACAGGTGTCTAAAAAAGTTACCGAGGATCAGATGGACAGACAGGGTCACCAACGAGGAAGTGTTGATGAAAACAAGACAGATCCCAGTCAGAGACGAGGTAGGAAGAAGGAGGTGATGATGGATTGGATATACTCTCAGGAAGTCAGACAGCTGCATAACAAAGAAAGTGTTGGATTGGAATCCACAGGGTAAAGGTCCAGGGGAAGACCACGTGGAACCCGGAGAAGAATCACAGAAATTGATGTACAGAAAAGTGGGAAGACATGAAGTAACATCAAGAGGTTAGCCCTTGATAGAGAAACCTGGAAGGTGTTTGTCCGTGGCCTATACCCTGGTGCAGGGTGAGAAAGTGTTTGTCCGTGGCCTATACCCTGATGCAGGGTGAAAAGTGTTTACCCGTGGCCTATACCCTGATGCACGGTGACTATACCATGGCGCACGGTGAGAAAGTGTTTGTCCGTGGCCTATACCTTGGTGCACGGTGAGAAAGTGTTTGTCCGTGGCCTATACCTTGGTGCACGGTGAGAAAGTGTTTGTCCGTGGCCTATACCTTGGTGCACGGTGAGAAAGTGTTTGTCCGTGGCCTATACCTTGGTGCACGGTGAGAAAGTGTTTGTCCGTGGCCTATACCTTGGTGCACGGTGAGAAAGTGTTTGTCCGTGGCCTATACCTTGGTGCACGGTGAGAAAGTGTTTGTCCGTGGCCTATACCCTGGTGCACGGTGAGAAAGTCTTTGTCCGTGGCCTATACCCTGGTGCACGGTGAGAAAGTCTTTGTCCGTGGCCTATACCCTGGTGCACGGTGAGAAAGACAATGATGATGACTCGGACGCAGTATCTGGTTACTATTTAGCTCACCTAAAGACTCGATTTAGATCAAAATGAAGGGCAAAAAGGTACGGCTAGGCTGAGGGCAGGCGGGTGTGTGTGGGGGACGGGGGTGAGTGACGGGGAGTGCCGCACGCTTTCTACGAGACCGGTGTCTTGCCCTTGATTTAAATGCCCATGTTGTGCGTGATTGGCAATGAAGTATTAAAAAATACTATTTATAGAAAACAAAAGGCAGCGGTCATAGCAGTGCATAGCTCATGATATAAATCATAGCTATAGGAATTCCTTTCCAGTGAACTCAGGACCGCGAACGGTTTTTACTTGAGAAATCAAACATTCCCCGAAACGGAAGGGTAGGGCTGTACCCCGGTAGCAAACCCGCTCGTGCTCACAAGCCCCTAGTTCAAGTCACAAGCCTCAAATCACTAGGTCAAATCATCAAATCAAATCACCAGCATG